TAATGAGAGCCTGTGGGAAGAGTTAAAAGCCTTTATCAGAAGTATATGAAGAGGATTTCAAGAGAAGACCGAAGCTTGATGGGCTACTGTTTAAGGAACTAGATGACTTCAGTGAGATTGAAATTGAGAAGGAGTTATCTGAAGAAGAGATATGAGATGGTCTAAGGGATTGCAATAGTGATAAAGCACTAGGTTTTGATGGATTTAATATGAGATTTTGTTAGGAAATGGCTGTAGTGGAAAAAAGAAAAAAAAAAAAAAAAAGAGATGAGTTTCACAGAACGGCTCCTTGCAGTGAAGCAGCCTAACCCTTCATCTCTGAATCAGCCCAACTGTTCATCTTCTTCCTCCATCCGACGCCATTTACAGTTGAAACATCACTTTGGCAACAATAACAATGATTGGAAGGAGTTTTATGTACCAGTTAGTGTATATAAATAAATGATTGTAAAGCTAAAGAAAGCATGTAATTTTTCGACATGAATCTCAAATAATATCTCTCTCTTGATCTATTACTTTCTTTCTCTTTTCTTCTCTGCTATCTTTCTCTTTTTCCCTTTATTTCTCTCTCCAACAGCTTCTTTCTCTCTGTACGGTCTGTTTCTCTCTCTAAAACCAGTCTCTCTCTCTCTCTTTAAAATAACCTCCCTTTCTCATCTCTGTATACTCCTCTCTCTCTCTCAAAATCTCTTCTTCTCTCTTCCCTGACACCTCTTCTCTCTTTCAAAAATCTTATTTTTTCTTTTCTGAAATCCCCATTCTGTCCTCTATATTTTTTTAATTTCAGAATCTACCCCAGCCTTTTAAATTTCTCGAAAATACCCACAAATAATTAAACTCTATATTTTTCCAAATTCTTGTTTTGGTGAATCTCATGTCAAAGACAAGTCCTGACAGATTTCTATAAGAGTTTTGGCCTATTGTTAAAGATGACTTGTTTGATGTATTTAAGGAGTTACATGCAGCCAAGACTTTTGTAAAATTCTTGAACTCTACTTTCTTGATGATCATAGCAAAGTTGGATGAGGTAAAAAGTATTAAGGATTGAGACCAATCAGTTTGGTGGGATGCATTTACAAGATATTGTTGAATTTAAGATGTGTACTCTTATACTTTCAAGCAGTTTGTGGTTTGAATATTAATCTAAATTAGTTTGAAATGGTGGGGTTTGGGGATAGAAGGGATGATGAAAGGTTAGCAGAGCTACTGGGCTGTAGATCGGTGAAATTACCTATCAAATATCTTGGCATTCCATTGGGATCTAAATATAGGGAAGAAAGAACATGGGATCTAGTTATTGAGATGTTCGAGAAAAGACTGGTAGGGTGAAAGAGGAATTTTCTTGTCTGGCAAAGAAGTTTGAGTCCATTCAGTGCCATTTCCTGTGGGAAGATGATGAAGGGATAAGGAGGTACCATTTGGTGAAGTAGGAAAAGGTGAAGCTACCCTTAGGGAGAGAGAGGGGTTTAGGAGTGAGATTTTTAATTGAAATGAATATGGTGTTGCAAGGTAAATGGGTTTGGAGATCATGAGGGATGAGGATAACATACGGAAGAGGGTTGTAGAAGCTTAGTGGGGGTGGGGCTATCCGAGATTTGGGTAGACCTTTCGGTTTGGGGCTGTGGAAGAGTATATGTCTGGGAAGTCATTATATTCATGAGTGTACCAATTGGAAGGTGAATAGAGGGAATAAAGTTCTCTTCTGGCATGATAGCTGGATCGGGAGGGGTGGCCTAAAGGATCAATTTCCACAGATTTTCACCATTGCTCAATTGAAAAACATTTTTGTGGAGGAGCTTATGT